CTGAGACATTTTAAAAGCAGCTGGAAAAGCATAACAGAGAATTAGTCAGAACTATTTCTGCCAAATCAAGACAGTTGGAGGATATGCATGTCTTCACCAAATATATACCTACAGCATAAAACAATTCTCAGTATGACTCTTTGTGGTTCCTTTAGGCCACCTTTCTCAATAGTTCAGTTTTGGACCACAATTCCCATCACTTCTAAAATGGGCCATACCAATTAGGACAGATACATGCTTCAGGTCATTTTAGAAACCCATAAAACTGCTCTATATTAACATAACTTGTGATATACACTAAGCAAATAGCAGCTTGAGAGCCATGTTTGTAATTGAGTCACATTTTTGCTTTGTTTTTTTGCTTTGTTTTGTTGCATGACTGTGACTGCTAAGACCAGTGGAAATCTATATCTTATTACATGGCTGGCAGGCAAATATGGCTTGATGGGTCACGGAATAGGCAGTCACTAGGGCAGTGAGAAACAGTAAAGATGTCCTCAAATCATGTTGATTTCAGCTATGAATAGTTATTCTTCTCCACATAATTACACTGTGGCAATAAGCTTGCCTATTTACAAGCTTTTCTCCAAAAATATGATTACAATTCTCCATGCTAATAAAATTCCCATTCAAACCATTATTTTAGAATGCACATTATCTGAGAAAGTATATGTCTTTGAATATTTTGTGGTCTGAACAGGTTGTTCCAAGGTCAATGAATGTGTATGTGTGGTGTTGGGGAGCCTACTTTTCTCATTTGGGTGGAACATATTAACTTTTCAATCATTTCCCTGTGCTGCTATTATGGGAATGGGAAGTAATTTAACAAAATCTATAACCTAATTTAGGTTTATCATTGCAATCTGAAAATTAATTAATTCTATGGGCCCAAGTGATTTAAAGAAATGCCAACTTGTTAAAACAGAGCGTACTGAATTTCTTGCTAAACTTTTCCAAATGTTGATCACAGAATTTGGAATGAAAACACTTAGAAATCTGTATGAGTAAACTGCTTTTATAGTACAAAAACAAGATTTCAGTGTATCTGGAATTTTAAAAAATAAATCAATGTACCTGAAATTGGCTGTTCACAATCAGTAATTTCAGACAATGCTCCTATTCACAATTATCTGAAAGTGAACTCCAGTGAATTCAGTATTAAATAGTTTGAAAGCTAGTTAATGTAGTCAGAGATCACTGTGAAAAGGATAAATCAAAATTGCTTAAAATATATTTGTAAAATTAAAATGGTATGTCTCTGTTTTATTACATTTTTTTAAAAAAAATAAAGTCTTAGTATATTGTAAATCTAATTTGTACCTTATAGTCTAATTTAACATGGACTGAGTAGCAGAATAATACAGTCAGCACAGATTCTTCACAAAATTGAAAGACCTTGAAAGAATAGCCCTCTAGAAATCTCTAGATCCCCTAGCATGAGTCTACAGCAGTGGTTCTCAACCTTTTTTTTGACCAGGGACCACTTTAACCATGGACCACTTTGACCAGGGATACTCTCTAACATTAGTACCAAAAGCATTATTACTCAGTTTTGGGGCAATTTTAGATTCATTTTGGTTATTTGGGGTGCTGATTCAAAAAATTGTATTCGATAGACCACATCAGCTCTAGTTTCTGATACAGAACAAATGCCATCCAGTAGTCACCATCTGCTCACCCACAGAAAATCATATTTAATAAGCCTTGGCACTATAAGAGGGTTTTGCGAGACCAGTTACTCTTGTTGCAATGGTGTAGTAATGGTGAGGCCACAGATCATATTTTAGTTCTTGCAGATGACTGGGGTTCATGGACCACAGATTGGGGACCACTGCTGTACAGTCAACTTCTGCGAAATCTTTAAATTCCAAGAGTTAATTTAAATGAAATGTGTGAATAATCAAATCTGCAAAGTCAAATCTGCAGCTATAGAGGGCTGACTCTATTGTTTTCGACTGAAGACCATTACCAAGGGAGACACTCAGGGAACCAAAGCATGATAACTAAAGACATTTAATTAGAGGCATTTCTTTTGCCTCTCCTATGAATAGTATGGCACCTCTTACTAAAGGCGCTTCCATCCAATTTGTAGGAATTTACCCTCCATCAATTCCTGTAGTACATACTATCATTTTCAGTAAGTTGCTGATCCTCTATGTAGCATTTGTAAGGTGCTGGGTAGGCCGCTTGCTCTCCACTTTTGCCATAGAGCCCATTCCACCATGTATATCTACTTCCAGCAGGGCTCCATGGTAGAGCAAGTGGTGTATCAGTGGCAACAAGGGAGGTTTCCCATGTTGCCTTTCCAATAATAGGGGAAAACAGGTAGCAGATGCTTCTCCCCATGGGATGGGGCCAGTGGTAAGTCAGGACATGCAGGACATCAAGCAATGGGTTCCCCACACCTCTATCTGGGACCCCACAGATTTGCAATATGTGTGACAAATCCTGACCTTAATGTGATAAGGTTCTTTACGTGAATCCAACTCACTGTTCTTATCACTATAATCAGTATCAGCATTTCAGGAGTACTCAGCTGTTGACTGCATATTGCCCAACTTGCAAGTCTAAAAGGTGTATGTTTACCAACAGCAAAGCAACCACAAAACACATCCCTAATTCCGAAAGAGATATAGCAGTAGGTACTTAGCAGGATATAGGACTAGAAAAGTATTCCTAATTAAAGTGAACAAGCACCCTCTAAATGGTGAATCTATGACCAAAGCAATCTGTAGCATTGGACATTTGCTGGCTTCTGGACCTGGGAGGTGCTAGCATTGGCTATGCAATTCATGAACATCCCTAAATACTGGTAGAAGGAAGTAGGAAAAGAAGATGATTACATTCCAGCCAAATAGTCTCAATAAAGGAAGCCACTGTCTTGAGTCTGCAGGGTTGCTGAGGAGAGTAGGGTGATTTGGAGGACTCTCATTCATAGGGCTGCCATAAGTTGAAGTTGACCTGGCAATAGTTAACAATGTTACATCACATCATATGTCTCTGCTTGACTATGATATTGTCCGTGACTGGAAGTTCTGTGTGACAGATGTATTGAAAATGGTTGGCCTGAATCCTATTGTTACCTCTAATCAGAGTAGATGCGTTGAATTAGTGGGATTTACTCAGGTGTTGCTCTACAAGTCAACAACTGTGTCAGCAGTTTAGGCCCCTTGAATTGCAAACATCCAATTTATAAATGACTCATAGTTAAGAACGGGAGTGAGGCAACAGGAAGTGAGAGAAATCTACCCCTCGGGAGGGAAATTCACCCTTGCAAGAGTTATCATGGGGAAAAGCGGTCTCCACTAAGGCCTTATCACTAGTCCTTTTTTCCCCACATCAAGCCAAACTTTTCAAAATCAAAATCACTGTGACAGAAAGTGTGGTCAGATCTTCTGAACAGGGGTACAGCCAGCAAAATAAACACCACAGAGGTGTTAATCCTCTTTGCTATCCTATTGGCTGGGGTTACACTTAAAAATGTCCCTGTTCCAATCTACATACAAATTCAACTTAAGAACAAGCCTACAGAACTGTCTTGTTTATAACTTGGGAACTGCCTGTACTGCCATATAATCCAGTTTCTGAATTCAGGTTATCTGCTTTAAACTGGATTATATGAGTCTCAGTCTACATTACCATATAATCCAGTTTAAAGCAAACAATCAAAATTAAGAAATTGGATGGGGCATTAGCCAGACCAAAGAGATTTCAGCTATTATGTTTGCAATGGCTGTGAAAGTATGTGATTAATAACCACTGTCATTACCTAATAGGAGAAATCCCATCATAATGATTCTGCTTCAGGTGAGGCACATTTCTAAATAAGTGGGAAGAGAGAAAGAAAAGGCAATACTAGGTTTGATTCAGCTGTAGGTGGAAGCAGGTTCTCTAAACCAGTGGTTCTCAACCTGTGGATCCTCAGGTATTTTGGCCTACAACTCCCAGAAATCCCAGCCAGTTTACCAGCTGTTAGGATTTCTGGGAGTTGAAGGCCAAAACATCTGGGGACCCACAGGTTGAGAACCACTGCTCTAAACCTTCCTTCACATGGCTGTTTTCTACCAGCTCTCTTAAAGGGATATAGAAGATAACTGGAAAATTCAACTGAATTGATATATTACTGCTGAATGAACATACTACTACAAAATGGATATATGCATGAGCTTAGAGAACTCTCGGGAAGGAAGTGCACACTCATGGCTATCACCCCTTACTTCCCATATCACAGATCTGACCATTCAGAGTGACCCACAACCATACCAATAATATTTTAAGGGAGCTACAAGAGCTCTTATGTTGAGACTGAAGCAAGGAAGTCCACTCCATATGCCTTAGTATGGATTTATCCCATTATTCTTAGCAGTATTGCCCTGATTGCTGTCCCATCTTTGCACTCTCATAATCATCAATATATCCTGCATAGAGACATTGATGGGGAATACAACAGTTTGCAATAAGCCATGTTATTCCAGGCATTGGGACACATAACAGCAGCTCCCTTGTCTTGGCAAGCTATTCCAAGGGCCATTAATGAGGGACAAGCTGTGTTAGGCTGGTTGATTGCCGTTCTCCAGCTCACAGACCTGTCTTTGAATGTTTATAGATCTACACAGAACATAGGAAGCATGCAAACCAGAGAGTCTTCAGGCTTCTAGATATATGTTGTGCTTGCTTTTCCATCGCTTAGAATTATTTAAAAAGAAAAGCACACATTGGGGGATGCTCTGCTAATGGGCCATATTTTTTCTGCAAAAAATCAAGAGGGTAATATAATCAGCTCTATTACCCTTTGTAACCTGTGCACAGTATGACCATTCCCCTCTGGTCTCTGATCATAAATCAGAGAAAGCTATGGAAAATGGTTAGCCTACACATTGTAGAGTCTACTATTTAAAAGACAAAAAACCCCATTATTTTGGAGATGTAACAGTACAAGAAACACAATGCTGAAATCTAATAATTAAAAAAGAAATATCAAATCCATAACAAACAACCAATTATTGCAAGAGGGAGTTTCTTACTATATTTATGATTATAAGGAATGTTATACAAAACGTAGTGCATCAGATTTGTCTAAACATTACTTAGGTGCAAGTACACAAATATAATCATAAAAAAACAGGAGCATACTTTACAACATAACTTACAGTACTATAAATATATTTTATATACATGTTAACATATTTTGAGACATTGTTTTCATACATACGTACATATATATATATATCTGTAGTTTGCATTAATATTAGACTATTCAGTGCTTTAGTTTTATTATGACTCTGCACTATACACATAGATATTTGCATTGTTAGATCAATAACAAATAGCTTGCTGATCAGGAGGTTCATGTAGCCTCTTGGTTTTAATCTAGCAGTATAGTGATTTCTGTCCATTTTTGATGGAAAGCATTTGTGTATTTCCCCCATTTAATACTCGTCTTTTCATTTGCATGGTTCAACCTGAGGCCTAAAAGAGAGGCTGCAATGGAATAACAGCTGGGTGTGGTGAAAGGAGAGAAGGAAAGAGTGTGTGTGGCAAAGGAGGGAAAGCCAAATGGCCTGGATGGAGAACTGAAGCTGAAATGAATGGCAACTGGGGTGGGCCCACCATGGCTGTGTGGCCTGCAGGACAAAGTCTTGGCCCAACTGACAAATGAGGTAAAGGTGTTCGTGAAAGAGCTGGGACTTGGGAAAGAAACTGGTGAGGCTGAAGGACCTTAAAAGTACTGGCTGCGGCTGCAGCAGCTGCGGCTGCTGCATGCTGCTGCAAAACAGTGTGGTGGATTGTTGTGATGGAGGTAGAACAGAGGGGCTGCTGCAAAGGCAAGGGTGGAAGAGGGCCATTTGAAGGTTGGATTGCAGCTGGAGGAAAAGCAAGTTTCATCTTACTAGCCAGCAAGTTTTGGTGCATGATCTGGTGGTAAGCTTCACAATGCAGATCTTTGAATTTGTCATGGTTTTCTGGGGGCAAGAGCAGTGCATGTTCAGGCAAGGTGAATGGGGTAAGTATTTGCTCTGTGGTTAAGAAAGCATGGCTGTCCATGTGTGCTTCTTTAAAGGGCAATGGTGGCGGGGCATGAAATATACCTGGGTTACACCGCCACCACTCACTGGAGGATGGATTAAGTTTTTCTTGTGGTACAGTCTCAGCTACTTCATAGTGGCACAGATATGCCTTAGGAGGAGGCTGGCCTAGGTTTCTTTCAAGACTGGGCACTTTATTCGGAGCCTGAATTTCAGGAGCACTCACATTTTCATTTTTTTCTCCCTCTTCCAACATGTTTCTGGCTTTTGTTCTTTCCAGAACATTATGTTCACTAACAGGAGAATCAGAACATGCACATTCTTCTGGATGGGGACCATTCTCTGCAACCAAACATGTTGATGTTTGGGTGTTTTCTAATGAAAGTGATTGTTCAGGCTGTGGGTCTGTTTGGCTTTCTAATGGCTGCATTGTTTTTTCTGTATTGTTTTCATAATCTGGGATGGAAGGGCTTGTTATCTGTTCTGTGCATTCTTCAGTTGGTTGTTTGGGAGAAACACTAAACACTGAGACTTCCTTTGGAGTCTTGATATTATTCCTCGCAATGTCTCTGTAAACACTTTCTATGAACATATGGTGAATCTTTGCTCTCTTTCTCCTTCTTTTCCGTTTAGGTTTACTAGGTGATGCTACGTTACATGTGTGCCTCAAATTCTCTTCTGAAAAATAGGCTTTTGCATTGGAACTTTCATCTGATGAGCAAGAGTGCATATGGTGTCTTCTTTTTCGATGCGATCTCTCTGGCTCATCCGTGAGAGAATTATATGCTCTCTTTATGGGCTGTGTTTGCATTGTATATTTTTCATCGGGATAGTGCCTTGAATCTTTATAGTCTGGGCTACTACTGGATCTTCTGATACTCCAGCTGCAAAATGATCTAGAGTAAACAGAACTATATCTTCCAGAATTCAAACTTGCTTTAATTGATTGTCTGTGAGAAATTGTGTTGTTCCTTCTCCACAAATTGTTAGAGCTTGAGCAACAGTCCGTATCATCCTTTGCATTCCAGGTGGGGTGTGGAGCTTGATTCTCATGGTCCTGTGTGGATGCAGATATGTTTCCAGTTGAGACACTCTTCTCAGTCACAAGCATTTTGGGTGTTTGGTCCAACATATCTGGAGTAGAACTTCCCTGTTCATTTTCACCTGCACATTCTTCCAGAACCTTTTGATGTTTAACAACAGTAGAATTATTTTGCTGTTCAGATACTGGAGAAATTTCAGGATTTGCCTGTGTGACTTCCTCATAATGGTAATGATGGCATAGTTTTCTCCTTCTTTTCCTCTTCCTGTTTTTATGAAACCACTTCTCATGTGTTCTTTCAACATAAGTTTTGTTTTGTTGTTTATGGTCAGAAAAACCCTCTTTTATACATTTTGGGGGACTACGGTGATTTTCTTGCTTCTCAGTCACCTGTGAAGTATCCACATTTAATTCATCTTGGCTTTTTTCAGGATTATAACCATTGGCTGAAGTGTTATCCATTTCAGCAGGTTTTTCATTGGATTGGTATGTATGAAAGTCACTTGAACAATCAGTATTCACTGATTTATCTGTGTTATCTAGAAATACGCCCTGGCTTGATCCAGTCTTATGGGAAGACTTTGGCATATTTGACTGTGGTTTATTTTTCTCGAGGCATTCATTCAGTTTTGATGACCTGAAATCAAAGCATAAAGGATTACAGCTATATGAAATGGATGGCTTTGTGTTCGTGTAAATTAACATTTCAGATGGCCACTGAAGAATGCTTGATCCATGTTTGTTAAGCACAGGAACAAATGGCTCAAAAGGTCTTTTTTGTGAATTTTGTTTACAAGGCAGAGCAATTGCTTCCCCTTCAGAATTTGCTGGAACCAGTCCATCAGATGAGTGCTTTCTAATTTCAGCTTCAGCGGTGGGTGAATCACTGCTAATGTTCTGATCATTTTCTTCCTGGCCATCATGCTGTGATAAACATTCTTCATTCGCAGGGAGACTTGTGCATTCATCACCCACTTGTTCATCTCTATTGCTTTCTGTGGGAAGGCCTGGAGTCCCAGAGGAAACCCTGGCAAGTATTTCATCAGGCAAAGCAGCTGAATCCACGTTAATGCAGAAGTTATCAGAATCATCAAGTCCATTTATTTTCAAATGAGAAACAGGGGATATTGATTCCTTGACTTCTTCTGTTGTGTTCTCTTCACTGACTGGTTCATTTGAGTCCTGTATGGGGGTAAATTCAGTATGGCCGGTATGCTTTTCTGTCACTGGAGCCATTGAACTATGTTTCTCCTCAGAAGATGGGGCAAGCTCTTCATCTGATGACACCTGAAGATTGCAAGGCCCAGGGAGAAAACGACTCCTTCGGGAAAGCCCATGCTCAGTGGATGCTTCATCATTATATTCATAGAAAGCAGCTGCTGATGATTCAAGTTTGATTGATGCCTTCTTTGGAAATGCAAAAGAAAAGCCCACTTTGTGACCATGGAGTCCTTGCATTTGATCTCCCAGCTTGTCAATGTCTGGCTTACTGTTGTTTGCAAGAGACAAGGAAGCAACTGATGTAACATTGCTGGTAGTCTTTGAGCTGTGCAACAATGCAAAGTTGAACTCTTGTTCCTTTTTAGAGGAGTCGATGAAAGCATGTCGAGGGATTTCATTCAAATTATCTCGGACCATAACTGTGGTGGATCTGAACATAGGCCCGCTCCCTGGAGCACTGAAACAGAAAGAACAAAGAAACATGTATTTATATCAGTACAATTCAGGAACAATTCAGAAACATTTGAAGAGTGCATGCAATGGCAATCTTAATCAAACACACACACACACACATACACGGCATAGTACTGACATTTGAAAGACAAAGAACATTCATACACTTGCATATCGTAGATGCCAAAAAGAGTTCTGCTTAAAGTCTAACTGAATTTTCTTTTCCTCTGCTAGTTACTGTAAAGATGTAACTAGTAGTTCACGACTTCTGCAGCCAGCATTTGTAAGGGTTTCAACATCTATGGACCTTATCAGTTTAGCCTTGGGCTCTGTTCTAGGATGCTTCCAGGATGGAGCCTGCCAGAACCCATCACATGACACAAGGCTAGTTCCAGCAGGGCTCCACCCTTGATCCATCCTGGAAGTGTCATAGGGTAGAACCCAGAGGCTTCCCATGTTCTCATTAGTTATAACAGGGACAGTGTAGGGCAAAGCCGGGAAGCAACACTTTCCCTCGTTTAATGGGGAAAGCGGCAATGTGGAATGATGGTTCCCCCTGCTGCCCCATGGATTCACCATGATGCCCAGTGAATTGCCCAGCTGTCACTCAGCTGGAGGACCTTAATATGATGAGGTCCCATGTCTCCCATACCTTCCTGCTCCCCCCCTCTTTGCCTTGGCTTTCTACCTCCTCTATTGCTAGTTGCATTTGGTTGTTCTCTTCTTCAGTCTCAGAGTGAAAGGTAATTGGAGATGAACATGCTACTGTTTCTCCCTGTTAAAGCCCGTTAGAGCAGCCTATCAAGATAAGTGAGGAGGAGGTTCTGCAAACCCAGGGGAAATAATCCAACAATAAGTGTTGAAGTGAAGGAATTCACGAGGGTAGTCTTTATAACAACACCCTCACAGAGAGAGATCAATGCATACAGATAGCTGTTTAGATCCGTAACAATTTCTACTGGTACTCATTAGATAGAGGTGTGCATTTTTTTTGTTAGTCCTTGTAATTCAGATCAAATTTATTTAATTCTTACTTAGAAGTTGATATGTGATATGTGGGCATGGCCCGCACCAAAAATTTAAGAATTGATACTTTTTAGTTTTAGTTTTGTAAATCTTGGAAGATTCCCAAAGTCAGTTTCATATTCAGTGCAAGTAAGCAAAGCTGAAAGCAAAGCCAACGGCTGCCTTAGTGCCTCTGTAAATTAATGGAGTCTTGGCATTAGGAACAGGGAAAAGAGGGAGCAGTTTTTGATGGGAAAAGTCTGGGAAATGTAATTTGGGGAGGAGCCTTATGCCAAATAATTCAAAAGGCCCTGTCCTAAACTACATTTCCCAGAATGCAGTGCACTGCTCGGCATCAGAGAGATTTGCCCCTCCATGGCCAGCCAAAGTTTCAGTAAATTATGATTTTTGTTTCTGGGTTACAAATATCATTTCCTAATTGGTTCTATCATAAAATGTAGTGAACTGCAGAAGCTTTGTCATTGCACAAAGGACATTGTGTTATAGCACATTTTGCTGTTGTCTCCACCAATTTATCATCATCCACCAATTTAACTATTTTTTGGCTCAAAAACAAAGTTCCTGGAGTAGAACTACTACTTTTAAAGTAAGGACAACACAATTAAACAGGAAATAACACTTTCAAACTAGAAACATGTTTTCTTCTTTTTCATCATCATCTTCATCATCATCATCATTATCATCATCATTCAAAGGTTGGAAGGCCATATGCCGAAGGTGCTTTTATGGTTTCTACATTATGGTTTTTGTTCCTGGATTATAAATGTCATTTCCTAATTAGTTCTATCATAGAAACATGGCAAAAGTTCTTTAAATTGCAAAAACGTTGTCTTTGCATGATGGACATCATGTTATAGCACATTTTGCTATCCAGTCCACCAATTTAACAAATGGGGTGAAAGTGTCCTAGGATGCTAAAATCACTCTATCTGCTGAGCTTGTAGCTAAAAGAGGCCCTTGATTTTCCTACCCACACTTTCCATGAACTATCACAACTATCTAAATAATTACAATCATTTTCACTTCAGGTTTTGTTTTTTTACCAAATTGGATCCTCAGTAATGATTTCACACAGAGTAAAAATGGAAAATCTAAATCCTCATCTGGTTTCATCTGTCATGAATTTCCTAGACAGAGGTATACAACCCTTGATCGTCTCAGAAGGAATTCTTCCAAACTTGGATAAAGAGATGCTAATATTTGCTAAATGCATTCAGAATTATAAAGATTCTTATCAGTCTTGTATTCTCTTCATCAGAGTTTCCTGATTTTTTGAAGGGGGGATTGGTTTTTGAACATTTATAAAGATGTTTTCCCATTTCTATTGGAGACTCAGGTATGCAAAACGTGCACCATATCACTTATCTGCATCTCTCCCCTGCCAATATTTTAACTACTTTTGGACTGATTGTATTTGACACATGAGTTGTTGAGTAAAAAGAAGCATGAGATCCCTGCAGTCACTTTAAGTGGTTACTCTCTGTGCATACAGGGCCCTCTCTCAGACAGGTCTGCTTGCTTTCTGATTGGGCACACCAAGCTCTTTAACTGTATTTCTAAAACATTTATAGCAGTGTCTAAATGTATACACTACCCCAGGGGTCCAGCATGCAATTTCAGATATGTATACACATAGATTGATCCATTGTCCTTCACCCTCTCCAAAGTACCACCATTAATAAATATGCCATTAGGTATAATGTGATCATTAGCACAGCATGGGGAGCTGGATATGGACCTCTGGCTGTGAGTTATTTAAAGGTTACAAAGGCCTCAGGAATAACGGGAAGAAAATAATCATGCACACCCCAGCCTGCAACATGGTAAATCAGAGTTTTCGTATCTAAAATTATTCAATTGCACTGGAACCTCTGGGGCTAAGTGATTTCTGACTTAAATAGTGTTTCATGTATCAAAGCAATAGATTCTACAAGGAGACTTGAAGATCACTCATTTTACCCAGCAGTGGTTAATTCCTTCATGACAGATTACTCCACATTATTCAAATTAGAGAACAGGGCATCCGAGTACAACCAGAAGTATACATAGGACCAGTAATAAAAAGTTCAGTAAAATACATTTATGTCAACTTAAGTAAAAGAGTCATATCCTATCCAGTAATGGAGAATTCAAAGAATTCAATTTCCCCATAACATGTAATTACTATTATATATGTATGTCTGAGATAGGGGTAAGAAGGAAGGAACACATTTTTATTATTGCAGTATATAACTTTGAAATGTCTAGAAGTAGCCTTTATCAATTTCAATAATTAATCCCTCTTAGATTATGTGTTTTCTCAGGACCTATAATTGTATCTCAGAATCCATTGTTTAGATGTCAAATAGAAATAAAAGGACATATCAAAAGACAGAATGGGGAGATGAGGTTTACAGGGGTTGGTAATTCATAGTAAAACGTATGAAAGTACATTCCTCAGACTAACTTAGATTTTAGAAATGCTCTCTCTGTGTGTTCATTTCTAGTTGTTACTCCCAATGATAGTGCACCTATTACATCAATAGGAACTTGATAAGTTAACAAGCATGTAAGTTACAGTATTCCATTATGGTGGTTTGAGCATTGGACTATGACTCTGGAGATTAGGGTTTGAATCCCCGCTTAGCCATGAAAACTCACTGAATGACTGCAGTCAAGTCACACTTTCCCAACCTCAGAGCAAGGCAAAGGCAAGCCCCCTCTGAACAAATCCTGCCATAAAAATCAAATGGCATCCTTTCCTTAGGGTTGCCATAAGATGGAAATGACTTGAAGGTACACTTCATCCAATAACAATATTCCTTCAATTCAGTGGGTGCACTTCAGTGTGTTAACAATTTAATAATATTTATTTAAAATAGTCACATTGTTATTTGCACCAGGGATCCTGATGATATTGTGCAGACCTTGGAAAATTTGTTCTTTTGCACTGGGTGGTCACAATAGATGTGCTATTTAAGCAGTCAGCATTCTTCTCCCAAAGTTGTCCAGGCTCTGACAGTAAGCTATTTAATTTGTGCTGTTGGAAGAACCGTAATTTTGGATATAATAAGAGTTTTGTAAGACACTGAATCCAAAGGTCTTGCCACTTATGAGCCAATTCATGACAGGTTCATTGCTTTTTAAAAAAGGTGGGAGGGGGGGAGAACCGTCCATATTGAGATGTCCTAGCCATGTAAAAAAGAACTATGGGTTAGGTTTTAACCATCACAAACACTGCAGTGCCTGACAACACTATTAAAATACTTCAAAAAGATAGTCAGTCAATTGAAACAGTGCTAAGAGGTAAGAATTTGTGCTGATGAATGCCATTAGCATGATGGATGTGTGAGCACACCTCAATAACATTTGTAGAACTCATTGCACACTAGAAGCGTGACATATATCAGCAGTTCATAAGGTGCCCTCTATAGTCAATGTCTATACGACATAGGGTTTCTGACATTGCGGTGTTGCAATTCACTGCAGTGAAATGCCTGTCTATTATTCCATATATATATATATATATATAGAGAGAGAGAGAGAGAGAGAGAGAGAGAGAGAGATTTTCTGTTGCTTGTCAATGGCTACCTCATTCTGCTTACTTGTAGGACCAAGTCAGGTTGGAGGAAATTACAGCCTAAAGAAGTTTCAGTTCTTTCTCTCCCAGAAGTCTATCAATCTACAGAAAACTATGTTTTTCTGAGCACTGCAGTTGGTTGAGGCTACCTTAATTAATCTTTCAAACGATGGAACTGCTGGAGTCTCATACTTGCAGCCATTAACTATTTATGGATACAAAAGAACATGTATGCTCACTCATTTTAATGTGTTGCCCTTTGCTTTGTTAACTGGCTGATTTAGTAATATCCTGTTTAATGAACAATGTTGTCCCTATGGAATCTGATGAAACCTGTTGGTTGTATTCTTTTAGCTTGCCAATTATATAAGGGAATTCAGAGATGACAATTCCCCATTTCTTAAAAACATTATACAGAAAACCCACTGAAATAATAGTATTTTCCAACTAAGTGATAATTCTACCTACTATACTGTCAAGGTAGGTCAATTTGTTTTCTCCTCAGTACAAATGAGTGAGATTGACACTTCATTGTACTAATGGTTGGACTCTGCTTGCTAATGAATGAAAGCCAGCAGTGATGGTGGCAAGCCTGAGAAGGAACAGTTTCCAGCTCCATATTGGCTATCCTTCCAATGCTCCTGGTATAGGAGGTCCATGTAGCTCTGGGAGGATGGCCAGGAAAAGCATTTATGTCATATAAGAATAAAGCTATCTTGGACAGGGATGGTGTAGCTACATTAGTCAAGGCACAGGTGGCCTCAAGACTGGATTATTGCAATATACTGTATATGGGACTACTTTAAGGCTGATCTAGCAATTGAAACTGTTACAGTTTTGACTAGGTTACCAACATGACAAAATAATGCTACAAAAGAAGATTTGTTATCAGGCCAGATTTAAGATTCTTTTGTTAGTTCAAAAAGCTTGGACCTGGTTCCCTGCAGTTACTTAGAGCAAGGGCATCTAGTGTGACTGCATCTATCACATTCAATAAGTTCCTAAGAAATTTGACCTGGTCCAGTTATTCTTAATTTTAAATGCATGCTAAAACTTAAATACAAGTTTACCCTCTTTCATACAAATTCACAGCATGAAGCACACAATTCTTAGTCCTGGCTAGAGTGTAATCAATGTCATTTATCTATGTGTTGATTCAGCTTTCAACATTGATCCAGTGGGTTTATACTAGCCTTCCGATGTTGTATATTAATATGCATGTATTAATTTTCTGGTTTGTAGTAGTAGGTAAATATTTATAAATAAATATTCAGATCATCCTTCCAAGAGTACTTAGCATCCTGGTGGTTTCTCAAAATGCATGCTTATTTTTATGCATTATGATTTCATTTTTTAAATTGTCATCCTGCCTTTTCCCAAGCACCAAATAGTGCTCAAGTACTGGCCAGGCCAAGACAGATTTCCATTTGGGTGCTTTGAAAGTGTTGTTCTCTGCACCTTCCAAAGCCCATTGCTGTATGTAATGGAAGAAGGCCACAACTTTCTGACAGAGCATGTACTTTGCATGAAGAAGGTTCCAGATTTGATACCTTAACATCTCCTTTTAAAAATTGTGAACTCTGCTGGAGATCTTGGAAAGCCATTGCCAATAATAATAAACAAACAGATCAATGATCTGACTTGATATAAATTATTTTCATGTGTCTGTCTCTTCGCTCCTGTACAGTAGGCCAATGGCTACTTTGCTCTGCCTAATAGGGCTGTGCAAAGTTTAAGGACCCTGTTTTGTAATTTGGAGATTTGTATGATTCATTAATACAATATTTTGAATTACTAATTGGAACAGGAACCCTCTGAAACATTAAGAATTGAAACAGAAGTCTCCAAAAGGTTTCAGAAAGATGAGTAAAGATTTGTTGTTTCAGAGAGTTTCCAGAAGTGTTTTTTCAATGTAACATACTCCATAATTGTTTGGATTGGGAGGGGGCTGAAATGACTGACAATGGCAACTTTGGTTTTTTTTCCTTGTCAGCCAATCAGGAGAAGAACCAAGAAGAAAGCCAATCATATGGCTTTCTGCAAAGCTGATTTCCTACCCTTAATATCTGTGTTTCTTTTTAGAGTTGTAGGAAACTGAAAGAGAGAAAGATGAATGGTGCATGTTCTGTGTGTTTGTTAAAACTTAAACTAGTAGGTTTTTAATAATTCTGCTTCTTTCTATTCCTCCATATCTGGTCTATAAACTTTCTCTGTTGAAATTATCCAACCTTAAATTTATATTTTCCAAATTCCCATACTCCCTCCCCAAACTGTACACCCCTTTGTTGCCTTCAGTTCTTAAATCCTTCTTTTATCAACTCACTGTTTATGTTTATTGCTTCTAAGTTTCATTTATATGAAAGTTATTTACAGCCTTATCACACTGGAAAATGTAGTTTGGGAAGGCGAGGACCTCTGTAGTAGTGTATTCAAAAAGCCCCATCCTAAACTACATTTCCCAGAATTCTGCTCATGCAAGAAGAATGGGGCTGCCCACATTAGGGCCCCAGTGCGATAAGGGGTTTAAGTTAATCACATGTGCTTAAATTGAAAAATTCTTTAAAATCAGTGGATATACTGATCATTTTGAAACTTGGCAGGCTTGTTGCCCTACTCATGTTGTCTCACTGTACTATAATTTAAGGGGCTACCTCTTGTAGCTTTTTTTAAAAATAATTTTAATTGAAAAAAAACTTATAAAAAATTCTAAAAATCAGTAGATGAACGTATCTTTCTGAAGCTTTGCATGATTGATGCCCTGCTTATGTTGTCTCATTGTGCAGATGGCGATACCTATTGTAATTTTTTTTTTAAAAAAATTACATTTCCTAAAATCAGTGGATGACCAAAACATTCTGAAACATTGTAAATGTTGCCTACAAGTGTGCCAAGCTGATAGTCATAAAAATGAAGGGGAATCAAGCCTCAAAAATTTCTCAATTGCAGTGAACGGAACAAATCATAACAAAACTGCATCCTACACCACTGGGTGTCTGTGCCCTATACCACTGGAGAAATTACACTGCTTAACCGGTATTGCACCACCTGACATCCGCCGGGAAGTAGCAGCCAATAGTGAAAGGACCAAGGCAGAGACATCTCCAGCTCATCCCCTGTTTGGGTATCAGCCAGCACGTCAACGACTTAAATCTAGAAATAGTTTTCTAAGATCTACAGAGACACTCGCTGGAACACCTCAGCAAGTGAGAGTCCAAAAGTGGCAGGCTCAAACCCAGAACCTCAACCAATGGCTGATACCAAATGAGAGACTCCCCCCTGGGCACACAGAAGACTGGGCGACTTGGAAGGCACTGAACAGACTGCGCTCTGGCACCACGAGATGCAGAGCCAACCTCAAGAAATGGGGCCACAAAGTGGAATCCACGACATGCGAGTGCGGAGAGGAGCAAACCACTGACCACCTGCTGCAATGCAACCTGAGCCCTGCCACATGCACAATGGAGGACCTTCTTGCAGCAACACCAGAAGCACTCCAAGTGGCCAAAGGTCAAAGGACATTTAATCAACTACCAAACTCACAAATTTTGTATTTTGTCTGTTTGTTTGTTTTGTTCTGTTAGAAATGTAATACAATTGACTGGTTGCCCTGACACGACAAATAAATAAATAACAAAACAATTAAGAAAATTTGGATTACTAATCGGAACAGGGCCCCCTCCGAATCTTTACGAAATGAAACAGGGGCCATTTGAATCTCGGAAATGAATTATTCATCTGATTTTATTCACTTTGCACCCTCTTCTGCCTAAAGCTAGGGCATACTTTGTCACTATATAAGGGGCAGTGACTTTCACCATTTCCCCCTTCTACTTGCAGCTCCCAAGCAGCACCAGTACCCACATGGAGAAGAAGGCCTAAATGGAATAGCGGAGGAAGGAGGATCAGTTAAGATCATCTGCCACTGATGAAACAGTAGGGTCCTCAGTCTAAATCCAAGTGCATGGAACAACGTTAAAGAATGTTATATGGATTAACAATATATTCCTTTCCTCATAAAAGAAGTCTTGCCAAGCTTCAGATGATTGACCTAGTTCCAAAAGTTTTTCAACACAATGCCTGCATTTATTAAATATTTATGCAGTATGTGTGTGTGTGTGTGTATGCATGTGTGTGTGTGTGTGTGTATGTCTATCTAACTATCTATCTATAGTGAAAGAGTATATTTTAAAACTAACATCTCTATCATTTTCACTCTGCTGGAAGAGTAACATTAAAACATTTATTTCATTGCAGTGTGCCAAATTTAACTGCTGCATACAGCCCAAGAACAGCACCTTAAAAACAGATCCACTTTGTTCTGGTTCAAGATGTTAATCATCATGGAACCTTCTTCTACCATGACATACCGCCGGGAAAATAATTTCCCCTTCTGTGCTCTTTTAACCTTTTAATAACTTTTCACTCACCATGCCGCTTCTTTTCTGAGTTCAGCTAACTTGTGCAAGCGTTGAAGGGCTTTTTCTTGCTTCCTTTCATCCTTTCTTGATTTGGATGCCACGTTTCGTGCAAACTCCCTCTGTTTTAGCTCCTTGAGTCTCTATTAGAAAATAATTGGAAGCAGGAGAGGGAAGGAGAAAGAGAATCATTGAATGCAAAAAGAGTAAAGCCACACACACACACACACACACACACACACTTATACCTTCCTATGAAATAATACACCAAAATAACCTGTTAAAAGCCTGTTATTTTCTGTTCGCATGAAAATATTCGATTTGTACATTTTGGCAGAAGCCCCAAAATTCACAGTAACATTATTACTGCTGTAGTGTTATTTGTTTACATGTCTAGAAGTTTATATTCTTCTCTTTCTTTTCTTTTTTTCAGTGACTGCTTATGCATTTGTATTAGTAGAATAAAATATGTTCTTGGACAGTTAAAATTATTTATTATTACCTGACACAAAATTGCTGTCATATTTGGTGGAGGTGGTATATAAACATATTTGTGGAGATATCGTTTAGCTTCCAAAAAACACTCTGAATTAGGCCTGGTTGATCAAGAAAAAATTTGGTTCTAAAATCGTTTTGTAATTGGGGTGTTTTTTTGTTTCGATATTTAAAATAATTACAAAACTTTCCCAAAAAAAGTTTTGGTATTTACGAAATTTCGTAAATATTAACGAATTTTTAGAATATTTTTTGTATTTTTTAAGAATAATATTAAAATAATATTAAAAAATATTTTAAAATGGAAAATTAACCAAAAAATGGCCCAAATGTGGACCAAACACAGGAAGGAGACAGCAAATGAGAGCACACACCAACAGAAGAGTCTTTTCTTTTTTAGAATATTTTTTAAGAATAATATTAAAATAATATTAAAAAAAAATATTAAAAAATAATATTAAAAAATATTTAAAAATGGAAAATTAACCAAAAAATGGCCCAAATGTGGACCAAACACAGGCAGGAGACAGCAAATGAGAGCACACACCAACAGAAGAGTCTTTTCTTTTTTCGAATATTTTTTAAGAATAATATTAAAATAATATTAAAAAATAATATTAAAAAATAATATTAAAAAATATTTTAAAATGGAAAATTAACCAAAAAATGGCCCAAATGTGGACCAAACACAGGCAGGAGACAGCAAATGAAGCAAGCAGCACTCACAGCAGCAAGGAATGAATCCAATCCAGTTGCTAGCCAAGAAGCCAAGCCAACCCAATGCAAACTCCCTCGCCCTCTGCAGCAATGAGCTACGGCCGCACGGAGCCGCTTTGAAAGGGCTCGCCGGCCAATCAAAAACAAACAGCCACGGACCCACGGTGCACTGCTTGGGAGCGCCGGATTGGCTCCCAGGCACCAGCACTCCAGCAGCCTCCACCCCATTAACGAAACGAGCGGAAGCTCGTTAAATCTATGGGGGCTGCCGGTTCGATATTTTAAAACCCTTCCGGGTTTGAAAATGTGTTTTGATATCGCCTCGGAAATGCCAAAAATAACGAATTAATAACGAATTAACGAATTAACGAACGAAACCGCACAGGCCTACTCTGAATCATCTATCTGGGGTATGCTGCATTTACCATTATGGGATACTCTATTTGAAATTAGTTATTCTACTAGATAACTCACATGTCAAAATCTAATGCCTGGCCTTCTACTTCTAAAAAGAAAAATACAAAACAAATAAATCAGGTTCTGTGTCCAATTGTGAATCATATTAAATATATTCCAAGCAAATGACATTATAGACCTATCATGCCTATTCAGGAGTAAACCCCAATGAGTTTAACCAGATTTCCTAGGCAAGTATGCATATGACTGCAACTCTTTGGTACAAGTAAAAAAAAGACTGAGTAAAATGTGCTGTAATACATAACAAGCTCCATATATGAATGCAAATGTAGGAGTTGTATGTATATGTGAATACTAGAGATGTATGATGCATTAAAATGTTTCAAATTCATTACAAAATGGTGGGGCTGGCATTTTGTTTCTAAATTGTTTCTTAATAGTACTTGGTGAAAATCTCATTACAATAATGGGAATAATGAAATTTCATTATTACTTCATTAGAGTAATTACATATGTGCATTGATTACTAGAATTGGGGAAACTTCAGGGGCTTCTATCACTCTCATTTTTAAAGCTATTAGGGTTAAACTTGCTACAATGGGAGAACACATTTACCATTGTTCACCCACCAAATTTCAGAATGTTTCTCTTATCCACAGATTTTTGACAAATTTTCAAAGTTTTTATAAACAATATATTTTTTAATAATAAAGAAAATCTGTTCCTAGTTGCAAAGTATCATTTCCTGTTTATTTGTGTAGTACTTAATTTGAAAGTAGTTGTTCTACTCCAGAAACTTTGCTTTTGTGGCAGAAACTTTGCTAAATTGGTGGAGACTCAATAAAGCAAAATGTTTTATATATAGGATGATGCCTTTCTCTACTATCCTGATTGGTGCTTTCTGATGCTGGATGCAGTCTGAGAAATGTATAGTTTAGGGCAGGCATATGGCTCCTCATTTCCCAAGCTACATTTGCACATGCACATAATTAAATGACTATAATTGGGGAAGCTTCAGGGCCTCCTTTCTCCCTCATTTTTAAAGAGGAATAGTTGGAAAAAACCAATTTAACATCATGATTTTCAAGTAAAATTTTGGGAGGCTATTATAAAATTAAAGTAAAACTAATAAAATGGCTAACAACCGTGATTATTATTATTATTATTATTATTATTATTATTATTATTATTATATAAAAAATATACCTCCCTGGAATAGATTCAACACCTTGGAGAGCTCTTGTAAAGTTTTGAACAAAACTCAGAGATGATTCAGCCCATGTCTGTCATACAACCTTCTGACTGCCTAACTACACTATATGGCACTGTAGATGGGCCTCCTCATCCTTTGAAGGCCTGTAAAAAGAAGCTGGATGGGCATATTTCAGGAGTGCTTTAGTTGTGTGTTCCTACATGGAATGGATTGGACTTAGATGGCCCTCGTGGTCCCTTCCAACTCTTAAGACTGCATGCTTTTAAATATTGTTCATTTGACATTCTAAGGATATTCTAGGGAAGAATTTCATACTTCCTAAGATTTGTTGTAAGAAAATGTGGACCACACAGTGAGTGTTGGCACATTTGTGAGAATGAGTGTAGATCCTAAAGAAAAAAAAGTGCATGAAACAATGGGCATGGCTATAGAGGGAAGTAGATAAATAAAGCAGGGAAGGAAATATCCAGAAACATACTGTGGTCTATAGGGGAAAGTTATGTTAATTAAGTACATAGAGAAATTAGAAAAAAAATATTGAAATTGGGCAGTTTTTAGGGTTGAAGAAAAAATACTATGTATTGTATCACATTGCAAAAAATAGGGGAAGAAATTGCAGTTAGGAATCAGAGAAACTCAACAAAATTCATACTGAAAATTTCTGAAGTCCATCGTTTTCCAAAGCCTCTGAACTATCTCATGTATGTTTTCAGCACAAGGCGACTGAAAATTATGATCAAAGCCACCCCCAAGGAATCAAACATTCAAGTCCATCCTTGAAACCCCACTGGAACTCACACTTCTCAAATAAATTCTTTTCTCTGTCTTATCATTTCCAGTTTTTGAAAAGAAAGAGATAGGGGGTCAGGGTGGAAAACTGGCCACCAACTCAAAGAGATAGTCATCAGTGTATTGAGTCTAAGAATTACATGTATATTGAAATCCTATCCTTTTAAGGAAAGGCACCCTTGTATCCATATCATTTTATTATGTACACTAAAGACACCAGATCCCACCTGGTCTTGGGAGTAGGGTCAGCCCTACTTGGTACTTGGATGGGAAATCATTAATGACTATAAAGTACTCTCAGTGGGAGGAGCTGGCAAACGCTATTCTTTGTCTAAGAAACCATGGGGTTGCCATTTGTTGATAAGCAACTTAAAGATACACACATACAAGAATTATAGCTTATCCGGACAACTGCAGTTAGAAGATAGTCATGCCATTAAATAAATTAATATACATTTATATAAACCAAAGAGAAAAAAATAGCCATGTCATACAGCCTAAATCCAGTCTTTAGTCTCAATTAGAGTATATCTATCAAATCAATTTAAATTACATTAGCATTGAGTCATCATTTCCCCACTTTGCTTCAGTAGATGCTTCAAAGGATGGGACTAATGATCAGATTTAGCTCCATGATTTTTACTTCCCATGTTTGTAGGAACCATTACTTGTATTTGGGGTAGACAAATGCTGACAACAAGTCCTAGCAATCTAGCAATACTGCTTCTGTGCCTCCAAAGGAAGTGAGAGGCAGTAGGGCAGTGGTTCTCAACCTGGGGTCCCCAGATGTTTTTGGCTACAACTTTCAGAAATTCCTGCCAGTTTACCAGCTGTTAGGACGTCTGGGAGTTGAAGGCAAAAACATCTGGGGACTCCAGGTTGAGAACCACTGCAGTAGGGCTTTTAAATAAAATAACAATCAATTCCCCAATCTGAGTGGGAGAAGGGGTGCTGGAAATCCTTGAAATCCTTAAAATGTGGCCTTAGAATCACACTTACTCCATGGGACACACTGTGTCCACATATGCTTTATAGAGATGCTATTGGAGATGCTAATAATTGTCATACAGAGCATTTGCAAATTGCAATAGTGTTACAGTTGGAGAAGATCTCTTACTCAAACACAACCTATTAAGAGAATTAAAAACCAACCTTTCTCATTTGACCACTATACAAACAAAGTCTGAAAACCCAAATACATTACGTTTTCAATCTTGGAAGTAAACACATTTTACCAGCGTGATGAAAAAGAGCAGACAAGCAATCAGTTACACAACTTTATTAAGAACCAGCTATTGAGGCACGTGAGACGAAGAACATAGAGCTATGGGGTGGGGTGGGGAGAATGGCAAACCAGGACAATTCCTACACAGTGAAATCAAGAGTTTATTTTTAATCCCCCCTCCACTTTCTATTCTGAGGGATGGAAAATATGCCATCAAATGCATTCTTCTGCATTTGATTAAAACACACACACACAACCTCGCGGTTTAAATTCCATTGCAATGGGAT